TGGTCTCGTTCTATCGAAACACCGGAGGAAAAAAACCCGAAAAAATCATATTTTACAGAGATGGATTGAGCGAAGGCGAATTTTCTAAAGCGGTAAACAAGGAATTGATGCTAATGCGCGATGCCTGCGCAGAAATGAATCCTTCCGAAGTATACCAACCGCCCATCACTTTCGTCGTGGTGGGCAAACGACACCACACACGTTTCGTGCCAGAAAACTTGGAAGACGGAGTGGGAAAACACCGCAACATTCCCCCGGGCACGACCGTGGATACGACCATCGTCCATCCCACCCAATTCGATTTTTACATCTGCAGCCACACCGGCATCCAGGGCACCAGCAGACCCGCCCATTACACTGTGCTGTGGGACGATAACAATTTTACGGCCGACGAGTTGCAAACCCTGTCGTATTACTTGTGCCACACTTACGTCAGGTGCACACGAAGCATTTCCATCCCGTGCCCCGTTATGTACGCGCATCTTGCAGCATACCGTGCCAAACAGCATCTGTTGGCCAGATGGGAGGATGGAGGCAGGAACAACGATTCCAATTCTAATCTCAATCTTTCGAACGAACAGCTGTTGGACAACAGCTTCAAGTATTCGGTCGAAGTCGATCGCAAGATCACAAATACCATGTATTTCGTTTGAGTATTCCTCGCGACGGCTGTCACGTATGCCATTCATTCGAATGGCATTTCCTTGCAAAATATATTTTGTTTTAAAGTCAAAATTGTACATTCAAAGTATAATTTATTAAAATTTCAGTTTATCTGAATATTTTGATGATTTATTAGAATATTACAAAACTATCCACAAAAATAAAGAAATGCCAACATTAAGGTTGTATTTAATAAACTGGGACACTCAAAATCGAGCAATACCAGAGAATTTTCATGCCTCGATTCTCATCACGCGACACTACACTGTGGGCCTAAAAAATGAGGTCCTCTGAGTACTCAAAAGGGGAAAAAAATTAAAAAATTATAGATATATTTAAATGAATTAAATGCCTGTGTCAGCATATAATCGTAATTTATACATTTCAAAATATGTAATTAATTAAGAAAATGAGAATAGCACGATATTATATTAGATTTTTTGGATTTAATTATATTTTTACACATCAAGATATTCGTTCCTGACTGAAGTGCAGTGATGGCATGCGAATTCACGTTAGATTATTAAGGAGCGCTAAATTAAAGCTATTTGTCACTCTGCACAAACGGTGAATTCTACCTTTATTCTAAAACTTCCTTAATATTTGACTTCGTGTTAACTACTTACTTCATAAGACATACAGGGTGGGTAAAAAGTAACTAGGTATTAAGCAATCGCCATAATTTTTGAGATATTAATGCAATCGTAATAAAGTTTACGTATGTACGTATATCAGCCAATGGAATTATATAATTTTTGCGTCAGTGGATTAGACAATGAGCGAGAGAGGTCGCACGTGCAATGGCAAGAAAGATGGACGACCACTCCTGTTTGGGAGCCAGCGCAGATTGCTCTACGCTATGAGGTGTGGAAATCGGTGGTTGCCGTGTAGTGACGATGACGTGCGGTGATGGATGTCATGCGGATACAATCGAGAATTGTCATTAGGAGCTAATGACCAAAGGTTCGGTCGCGTACGCATAGAGAAGCGACCGTTCATCCACATCACGATCTTCGGGCGTTTGAGGAAGTTGGGGATGGTAGTGATGCCTATATTAAATTTTAAAGGCACGAGTCTGTATTTCCATTTAATAATGTAAAACTTGAATAATTTCATCGTATTTGCTTTGGAAATATAGAAATTATAACGATTTATCAATGCCTAGTTACTTTCCACCCATTCTGTATATTGAATGTCCGTTTAGATACTGTATTTATATTTATTCCAACAAATCAGAAAATATCATTTTATTTTTACATAACTGTACATTATATTACAATAACTACAATATGACGTAAATATCGAGATATAAAGGTAAAAATATTTGAATATGTTCACCAAGTTGCATATAAAACCATCGGTTGATAATTATGAACATTCCTCCATTAAATTTCAAAAAAAATCTGTAAATGTAGATTTGAAATAATAGTTTTTTTGTTATTAACCAATCACTTAGTGTTTTTACTGTGAAAATCAATTCTTTAACATCGGAAATCATTCTTTAATAATGTAGCATAAAATAATCCTGGTTTATTGATTTTTCTGGTTATCTGCAGCATCTTCCTCGATAAAAGACTGTACTATAATCACTGGTATTAATCCCTGTGTTCTGACCAAATTACTTTTACTCTCTTTATTATTTAAATTCATTTGGATCTCCTCCGTGTCTTCTTTAGATTGGGCCAAATTTCCCGAAGAGGGTTGATTAATTATTACGGGTGTCATCAACACATTCGTAGGTCTGTTTACGTTTGCATCCGAGTCAAAACCTCTATGGTTTTTTATGTTCGAATCCTTACCTAAATTCCTCTCGTTAACTTGAGATGGAAGGAATTGGTTTCTCCCCGCATTACGAAAATTTTCGGAAATTTTAGAATTATCCGACTGTACTTGTATTCTTCCATTGACTCTGATTATCCCTAGAGGTGAGTAACTTTCGGTTAAGAGCTTCTCTCCGTTTATGTTATCGTTTGAAAAAGGTGCTTTTGTGTTAGAGAAGTGGTGAGGTTTCGGTGGTTCCTCTCTGTTGTTAGGTAAATAGGAATTCGAATTTTCGTAGGGTTTAACTTTTATTTTATTCGACCGCTCCTCTGTACTGTACACCAAACTGCATCGGTTTTCAATTGTTTGTTGTAAAATTAAACACCGATCCACATAAGTCAAACAACATCGAAATATCCTGAATAGAGTTGCGTGTTTTTCTCGGCTACAGTTAAAAGAAATAGACCCACCTGTTAGCAAATCTAATACAGTAATACCCCGAACTTACGCTATAGGTGGGACCGAGCGGTAACCGCTTTTAAGTCGAATTCGCGTAAGTCGGGGTATAATTTCGCAAATAAATGCATACAAATAATTTTTAATTGGGGCCGGAGGCTAAAGAAAACTATAATTTAGAAAAAAAATGTTTAATAAAAATCTTAGATAATACATATGTACAGTGGAACCCCGGTTAACGAACGTCCTGGTTAACGACCAAATCGGTTAACGAACTTTTATTTTGCAAAAAATTTGTCTCGGATAACGAACAAAATTCGGATAACGAACGTAACGGTATTTTGTGTCAAATTTTAGTTGGTGTTAGGCATGCACGAGTTAAGTATTGCTTTTCCGAGTGTTTGTGCTATACTTCTTTTTTCAGTTTTGTGATTTATATATTTAATCAATATGGCATCCAAGAAAGAAAAAAGTCATAGTGGCAATAGAAAA